GCTGCCGGCCCCGGGCCAGGCCGGCTCAGGGTACCCCTACCCCCCGGGACGGGCCTGGGGCGAGCTGGCGGCCCTGGACCTGTTGAGCTGTCCCCCAGCCGACGGCCCCTTGGGGTTCAGTTCTGAAGAATCACAGCACGGGGCACCACGGTCCCGTTCGGCGTCAGAGCTCAGCCAGCCTGTGGCCCCGTGGAGGGCTGGGACCCCACCCGCCGGTCTGCCGGGGCCCTGCTCCCCGGGCCTGCGCGGAGCACGGGGCGGTACGTACGCTTCGCAGCAGGTTCCGCTGCTGGTAGAAGGTCAAGACGGGCGCGCAGCAGGTGTAGTGCGTCTCCAGGCGCCGGCGCAGGGCCGGCCCGCAGTCCTCGCGGCGCTCCACCCAGCCCCGCTGCAGCGCCCTGCGCACCATGGTCGCCATCGAGCAGTCGAACACGATGACGACGTTCGGGGCGCGGCCCACCTAGGGACGGAACCGAGAGGTCTGGGGTGAAGAAGGGCCTGCGCCCAGCTCCCCCTCACCAGAGATCTGGTGGAAACTGGTCAGGCCTCGCCCCCCAACACATACACACACACACACACACACACACACACACACACACACACACACGCACACGCACACGCCCATGCCGGAGACTGAACGCAGGACCTTCGTCCCCAGCCTTTCTTTTCTTTCCTTTTTGCACACACTGGCCTCGAACTCAAAGTGATCCTCTTACCTCACCTCCGCAGAGTACTGGGATGACGGATGTGTGCCCCCATGCCTGCCTCAGTTCAAGTTTTTGGAGGAATAGAATGTTACATTCCCAGAGCTCCCACCCCTAGGCCAAATGTGCACACAGGCCGGGCGTGGTGGCACACACCTGTCATCCTAGCACTCAAGAGGCTGAGGCAGAAGGATCACTTCCAGTTCGAGGCCAGCCTGAACTGCATAGCGAGAGCCTGTCTCAAAAAATGAAAAAATGTGCACACACAGGACAGAGCAAAAGGCTTCCTTGAGGTGTTGGCCAGTGTCACCCTCCCTAGAGGCACCCAAGTCTCCTGCAGCTTGGGCCTCCTCCTGTAACTATTTTAGACATCCATGGTACAAACAAATAGGGTTCTCACTCTTTCCCTTTTTAAACGAACTACTGCAGTACTGGGAATAGAACCCAAATCTACCATTAAGTCACACCTCCTCTGCCCATTTCCCATTTTTATTTTGAGACAGGGTCTTGCCAAGTTGCTGCAACTGGGCTCAGACTTGCAACCCTCCTGCCTCAGCCTCCTGAGCATCTGGGATTAGACATATGCCACCTCACCAGCTCTTTTCCTTTTTTATATATGTGGTAAAAACAATGATTTGCCCATGACTTTATTTACTCAGTGATGACTTCATATTGGCACACGAAGCATCTCTTAATTCTTGTCAGCTGCTGCAGTCCTTCCTTCGTATTAGCAGAAGATTGGTTCCATAACCGGTCCCCCTGCTCCAGTGCCAAAATCCAAGAATCCTCAATTCACTTATAAAAGAGGTGCAGTATTTGCGTAAAACTTATGCAGTCCTCTCAAAGGTACTGGGGATTGAACCCAGGACCTTCTCACTGAGCTACATCTGCAGCCCTTTTCATTCAGACAGGGTCTCACTTCATTGTCCAAGCTAGAGTTGAACCTGCAACCCTCCTGCCTCAGCTTCCGGAGTGCTGGATTACAGGCGTAAGCCACGACACCCAGGTCCTCCTATAGATTTTATCATCTCTACATGACTTCTAATATCTACTGCACTATAAATGCTGTGGAAATAATTGTTGTACTGTATTGTTTAGGACATAAGAAAGGTTCTATGTATGTTTTTCCCACATATTTTTCATCTGAGGTTGGTTGAATCTGCAGATAAACGGCTGGGGATATAACCCAGTGGCGTAAGTGCCTGCCTGGCAAGCTCAAGGTCCTGAGTTAAATTGCTGGTACCAAAAAAAAAAAAAAAAGAATCTGCAGATACAGACCCACAGAAACTGAAGACTGATGCCAGGTTTGGGGACACACGCATGTAATCCCAGCACTTGGGAGGCTGGGGCAGGAGGGTTGCTGCCACTATGAAGCCAGCCTGGGCTACATAGTGAGTTCAAAACCAGCCTGAACTATACAGTGAGACCCTGTCTCAAAAAACATTAAAAAAGAAAACAAAAACAAAAAACTGAAGACTGACTACATGTATATGGTCTCAGTAAGTTGCCCAGGCTGGCCTTGAACTCGCAATCCTCCTGCCTCAGCCTCCTGAGTACTTAGATTACAGGCATGCAACACCTGCACAGCTCATGTATTTTTGATTTGTGGTTGGTTGAATCTGTAGTTGTGGAATTTGTGGATATGAACTAGTAGATATGGAGTGCTGATTTCAACCAGGCAGCATGGCACATGCTTGTGCTTTGGGTACTTAGGAGGCTGAAGCAGGTGGGTTGTGAGTTTGAGGCCAGACAGGGCTACATAATGAGCTCAA